GTGTTATCCATTTGGGGCAGTAATTTTTATATTTGGGCTTCCTTTTTGATTCCATAGACCAATAGTGCAGTGGGAATTGGACGTGACTCAACACTGATTTGTTGTATATGCTGAATGAGATAATACTATGATTGTTCTTGGGAACTACTTTTTACTTATTTATGAAACTCTAAAAAAATAAAAAGATTTGTAAGACTTGTGGTGGGGCACAAAATAAAATCTCGCCTCCTTATCATGGTACACAAGCCCATTTATCACAGCATGCAAGGCCATTTATTATAGCATGAAGCCGCTTCATTTCTCCCTCATCTGACCTTCATCTCTCACCTCCAATTTGGCCTTCATAGACCTTTGAGGCATTTATGTGAGCGGCACATCACACTGCTTACTTCTTGCCTGAAGGTGTCCTGCTTTCTTATTTTGTTTTTGCTCATGCTTATCTCTCCTCCTGCAAAGGCTTTCCCTGTTTTATCATGATGTGAGTAGTGCTCCCTTGCTGATATTTCCAAGGTGCTTTACACACACCTTCATAATGCTTCTGCTGCATTGAACAACTGTATTATAATTATGTGTTTAGCTGATTCATTTGGCTGGCTTCCAAAACACAAGAATGATGGTAGTCTTACTGTTTTATTTAAGAGTACGTTTTGGAGAAGGAGAAGTTTTTTACAACTATTATATTAATCAGCATATAAGCAGCATATCCAACAAATAGGAAATTTGGGGGGTTGTTTATTGTTTTGTGGGGTTTTGGGGGGGAGGCTTTTTGAGACAGGGTGTCCCAGTAGTCCCAGCTGGCCTGGAATTCCCTATGTAGACCAACTGGCCTCCATCTTGCCTACCTCTGCCTGAGATTAAAGGCGTGAGCCACCACACCTGGCTCCAGTAAACAGTTCTTCTCCTGACTACATAGGAACATAGAAATACAATAAGAGTAGAAGTGACGTCTCAGAGTTGTGAGGACAGTAAAAGAAATCAGAAAAAAACTATGAAAAACTGCTATCACACGTGGACCTGGTCAGTACTATAGATATCCATCCTCCTGGATGCTTGCTTCCATTAGAACTCACTTCCCAGAGATAACAAAATCTTTATTTCAAAGAAACAGCACTTCACAGGACACATGACCAAACTAGAGCAGTAAGGGAAGAAATTTCTCTCAAGAAGTTATGGTGGTTAAGACCATGAGTTTGCTTCATCAGTTATTATATTGTGCTGTCATTTTAGGCATGTTTGTGAAGTTTCTATACCTGTTTTCTTATCTGTGAAGATACATAATTACCTCATGGAGCAGCTTTAAGGAATAGATAATTTAATATATGTAAAATAATACAGCACCTGTAGAAGCAAAGACTTAGAAAAGATATTATTACTAACCTAATTGAAATAGCAAACTTGTACGTTCTCATAAGGTCTTCCTAGAATTGAATTATATAACCTTACCTGTTTATAATGTTATTATGGAACTATTTGTGTATGACCCACTCCTCCCCAACTAATTATTCACATTACCAAATAAATAACTATTTCCTTAGGAGCTAATAGCTTAGCCCAAGGACAACAAAATTAGAGAACATGATCAAGCAGACCCTTGAATGTAAATAAGTGTTGGATTAAAACATTGAGAAGGGCAGCTGCATCACATGCTAGATCAACAAGCTGCAAATATTCACTCCCCGACTGAAGCATGAGTGAGCTTTCTGTCTGACTGATGAGACTCGGGTCGACTTAGAGTAATTTCCCCAATACAGATACTTGAAATACAGAGTGCAGCCTGTGTTATACCATAGAAGTCACATGTAACCCACAACTTGTCCCTAGTATTGCAATGACATGCAGTGGGATCTTACATAAGAAAGAATATGAAAAAATATGGTGAAAGGCCATGTCTAAATTAATGAAGGTAAAAAATTTGTTAAAGTTCTAATTGTGCTGGGCATGGTGGGACATGCCTTTAATCCCAGCACTGGGGAGGCAGAGGCAAGCGGATCTCTATGAGTTCAAGGCCAGCCTGGTCTACATGGCGAGTTCCAGGCCAGCTGGGACTACAGTACCGGGAGACCCTGTCTCAAAAAGAATGAAAACAAAACAAATAAAATTTCCAATTGTTAAGAGGCAAGGAAAATAAAGCACAAGGAAGTGAAACCCAACTGGGATTGGCTGCTTTCATTTTCCTGTTCTCTTTGCTGTCTAGGAATACAACTACCAAAAGATTGTTTTTTTAAGTTTGATATTGGAAAGAGTTCTGGTAAACTATATTATAATTTACTTGAAATACTTATAATTCATATCTATATGCCATATAGCTATAAAATATGACAAAATGGGTGGGGATTTTCTGGCATTCAGTACTATTTTATTAAGGCTCATTTAAATGATACAATATGACGTGTATACTTGGGAGGCAGAGGCAAGCGGATCTCTGTGAGTTCAAGGCCATCCTGGTCTACATAGTGAGTTCCAGGCCAGCTGGGGCTACAAGGAGAGCCTGTCTCAAAAAGACAAAAAAAAAAAAAAAAAAAAGACAAACTGGAAGTCTCTCTAATACTGAAATGCGTACCAAGATTTTACTGACAGTTCTGATGGAACCTGTAAGCATGCTACATCTCAGACTTTCTGGCCCAATATTCATTTGGAAAATATGACCATATGTCATAACTCTCAGAACAGACTGAAAAGCAGAGGAAGTGGAGGAAAGGGGACTTAAAAGACCTAGATCAGGAAATAAATAATTTTTTTAAAATATATGAAAAAGAGTGATGCTGAAGAAATTTTGAAATTTTATAGATGGTCTCAGTAGAGAGAAGCTTATGAATGTCATAACATTGAGGAAATAGATAAATATAAGAAACAGCCATGGTAATTAAGACCAGAAGGCAGTTCCCTGGTACTCCAGACTGAGCATCATCTGGGAACCTATCAGAAACATGGATTTGAAGGCTCCACACCAGACTTACTAAATCACAAACTATGAAGTTTGGACCCAGGAATATGTTTTAGCAAGCACTCAGTGTGATTCTGAGAGCCACTGGATTTGAGAACTTCTAGTTTAGAATTTCTCATGAGAATTTGGATTTTATTATCTGGACTTGACTTAGTTGTCCTTTACAGATAAGTGTTCTGATGATGTGGGACAATTTCTCAGGTATAAAATAGACAACCACTAATCTTCTAGGTGAAAAGTGTTCATGCATCTTCTAGTATTCAGTTTACTTAGCAGTACTTGGCTTCACAAATATCTGAAAATCAAAATTAAATTTATTACTGGTACCCAAATATAATCAGATAATAAGTAGCACACCATATATATGATTATCCATGTTCTTTAAAAGTACTTGATATATGCAGGAGTGATGGTGCATGCCTTTAATCCCAGCACTCAGGAGGCAGAGGCAGGTGGATCTCTGTGAGCTCAAGGCCAGCCTGGTTTACATAGTGAGTTCCAGGACAGCTGGGGCTACAGGAAGACCCTGTCTCAAAAAGACCCAAAAAAGTACTTGATATAAAAATATTAAATATTTTGATTATGTTATCATAACTATCAACAGAAAACAATACCACTTTAAAGTAAATATAATCTAAGGTTTGTACACATATACTAGCAATTGATTTCTACTCATTTGTCCTTTCCTGAGATACAACTAGCTGCTAAAGAATTATTAAAGAAAAAGATAAAAAGTAATGGGAAATAAAGGATCATCTTGCAAAAGTATTAATCTCACCTGAGTATACTACAGTTACTCTTATTTGACCTTTATTTCAGTGCTGGAACCCAAACCCAGGGTCTTACACTTGCTAGACAAATGTTTGACTACCATGCTACATTCTCAATCCTTATTTCACTTCTAATAAAATAAAATCATAGACTAAAGCAACAATTATAAGCCGTGGATATAAGGTCCTCTTCAGGCAGTAGCATAGCATGTCAATATAAAAGTGAAAGAAAAATGATTTTACCTGAGTGTCATTCTGAGCTCTCCTAATTGGGTAAAAGGGATATTTGGCCACGTATGCCATTATTGGATAGTGTAGGATTATTTGATTCCAACTATTTTTGAGACAGGGTCTCCCTGTAGCCCCAGCTGTCCTGGATATCACTATGTAGGCCAGGCTGGCCTCAAACTCACAACAATCCACCTGCCTCTGCCTCCTGAGTGCTGGGATTAAAGACGTGCGCCACCATGCCCAGCTATTTTATCTTTTTTTGGGGGGTGGGGGGCTTTTTGAGACAGGGTCTCCCTGTAGCCTCAGCTGTCCTGGAACTCACTATGTAGACCAGGCTGGCCTTGAACTCACAGAGATCCACCTGCCTCTGCCTCCCCAGTGCTGGGATTAAAGGCATGCGCCACCACACCCAGCTTATTTTATCTTTTTAAACCAAATTAACTACTTAATCCACAAAGACTATTAGTTTTCTAATTTTCTAACATGATCTTAAAATGATAGATATAGTATTTTTACTTCTTTCCCTTTATGCAACCTCTATATTCTGACAGAAATATATTACAAATTCTTTTAGTCTTCATGAGCCCAATGACAATGTTCTCAATGTAACTTTAAATATAAAAGTATTTATGATTTTTAAATAACATCTTTAGTACAATAGATTCTCACACTACATTACAAAATGTACAAGTATCTAGTAACGACGTACTTTTAAACTTTATCTGCTATACACAAAGAGAAAGATATAAGCAGGGTTAACATAGTTTCTAAAAGCAATTTTATAACAGTAGGGATTTTATTGAATAGTTAGCTAATTTAGTCATAAACATTGTTTATGTGAAACATTTTAAGAAATGTTTTGAAATGCTATTTGTTCCTATTCTCATTAGATTTCTTAAATGAGAAAAAAATCTGCAATCTCAATTCTATTTTCAGTCCACAGAATGCACTAGAAAAAACATGCACATACACTTTTCAAAGCTTATTCTAAGAGGAAGAGAAAAATTCTCACAACTTTCTCTGAACTGTTTTCTCCCTCCTTTGTTTCAGGTGTCCATTTATTCAGCTATATTAATCTTTTAAACAAAATAAAATGGATTTCTTAAACTCATCAGATCAAAATTTGACCTCAGAGGAACTGTTAAATAGAATGCCATCTAAAATTCTGGTGTCCCTTACTCTGTCCGGGCTGGCACTGATGACAACCACCATCAACTCCCTAGTGATTGCTGCAATCATTGTGACCCGGAAGCTGCACCACCCAGCCAACTATCTAATTTGCTCCCTTGCAGTCACTGACTTCCTTGTAGCTGTCCTAGTGATGCCCTTCAGTATTGTGTATATTGTGAGAGAGAGCTGGATTATGGGGCAAGTACTCTGTGACATTTGGCTGAGTGTTGACATCATCTGTTGTACGTGTTCCATCTTGCATCTGTCAGCTATAGCTTTGGATCGATATCGAGCAATCACAGATGCTGTTGAGTATGCCAGGAAGAGGACTCCCAAGCATGCCGGCATTATGATTACAATAGTGTGGGTTATATCTGTGTTCATCTCAATGCCGCCTCTCTTCTGGAGGCACCAAGGAACTAGCCGGGATGACGAGTGCATCATCAAACATGACCACATTGTTTCCACAATTTACTCAACGTTTGGAGCTTTCTATATCCCACTTCTGTTGATATTAATCCTCTACTACAAAATATATAGAGCAGCAAGGACACTATACCACAAGAGACAAGCAAGTCGAATCGCAAAGGAGGAGCTGAATGGCCAAGTCCTTTTGGAAAGTGGTGAAAAGAGCATTAAATTGGTCTCCACATCCTATATGCTAGAAAAATCTTTGTCTGATCCATCAACAGACTTTGATAAAATTCACAGCACAGTGAAAAGTCCCCGGTCTGATTTGAAACATGAGAAATCTTGGAGAAGGCAAAAGATCTCAGGCACAAGAGAGCGCAAGGCAGCCACCACCCTGGGATTGATCTTGGGTGCATTTGTAATATGTTGGCTGCCTTTTTTTGTAAAAGAATTAGTTGTTAATGTCTGTGAAAGATGTAAAATTTCTGAAGAAGTGTCAAACTTTTTGGCATGGCTTGGCTATCTGAATTCTCTTATAAATCCACTGATTTATACCATCTTTAATGAGGACTTCAAGAAAGCATTCCAAAAACTTGTGCGATGTCGATATTAGTTTAGAGAAAGTCTATTATTAAAGGGTGGAGGCCTTATTTGTTTGGGAGGAAATAACTAAATGAATGTAAAGTAATAAAACATCTAAATTTTTAGAGGAAACATATTACAACTGCTGAAATTATAAGAATTTAAATTTATGTTTTAATAGCACCATGAATATAAGATGTACTGATCTGACCATCATTCTAGGGCTATTAAAATTAGGAAATAATTTATGCATCTTATAAATAATATTTTGCCTATGTATTATCTCTAAAAAGCTAACTGCAGAAATATATACTATTAATAATAATGCTTACCAGGTTCATATCTTACAACAATTAGAGGAATTTTTAATTATCATACTTTAATTCATAATTTATTTATAATTCTATTGCTTTGCTATTATTTTATAGAAGAAATATGATTCAATGTAATACTACTCCTGTCCTTTTCCCATTGTGTCCTTTGCAAAAGGGGGAGAGAAGAAAATAACAGCTCTTATTTAGAATGAGGCAGAGTAAAGATGAATCAGTGACCCTGGTATTATCCTTGTACTTGGGCAATAAAGATAATTATATAGTAGGTTAAATATGGTAATATAATTCTGAATACTGAACTCCTGCATATTTAACCTCTTCACTCTGCTTAATGCCAACTTCTAGAATAATATTATCTTAATCATATATTATCAATATTTAAAATCAAAGCCCCAGAGCAGAAGGAAAGTTTATTATACACATATATGATTGTTATATACATTGCCCCTTGTTTAGTTAGGAATCAAATTTTAGACATTAAGTACCCAAAGTTACTCACCATAACTATTATACTTCTGTCTTCTTTAAAATATAAAATCTGTTTCATCTCTATGTTACGTCATCTCTGTGTTACTCAACATTTGTAAGCTCTTTATTTATACTTCATTCTATACCTCTAATTTGAATGTTGTTTCCTTTTTATTGGAGATAATGTAATGGGAATTATTATAACCTTCCTTTGACTTCACAAAAAAAAAATCTCTTGTTTTCAGCTGTTGTAATTAGAATACCTTTCATAAATCAAGACCATTTGAAAAATAACACATACCATACCTCTTCAAGTTGCAACTTTGTGTGCATTATAGTATATTCATTCTTTGTGGGGTACATAAAAGTGACTTACATCATTTTTTAAATATCTGTGAATAATGCTCTCAGTTTAACAGATATTTACAGAAGTATCATCTTATATAAGGGAAAGAGACATACAGGAAAAATAGAAAATACAGGAAATACTAAAATACAAATTCTCCCATCGATGTATTCATAATCTAAAATGAGAAGCAGTACGATATTAAACTATACTTGAATATAGCAAACAAGAATCGTGCAAGTAAGTTATTTGCATAGTTATGAGAGTGTAGGGGAAAAACGGATCACATCTGGTGGAAAAACATCAGGAAAATTTCATTAAAATGTGCCTAAAACAGGTTTCAAATAAAACAGCATTTGGGTAAATACAAGAGCAATGCAAGGACATAGTCCAGGGAGTGGAAACAAAGAACTCAGGCTTTGCCATGCATCATGGCAGGGCACTGAACCATGAGTTTAGCAGCCACTTAGATCAATAAAGGAAAGCAAGATTAAATGGAAAATGCAACATTGTGACTGACTTTCAATGTCAAGAAAAGAAATTTACTGTCAGTTTTGCTGCTATCACTGAGTCATCACTGATTAGCAGAAATTTTACAAGTTCAGTGTAAATTTAAAAGAAAGGGGCGGGAGGGAAAAGTTCATGGTATGGATTTGAGAAGGAGCAGAGAGTGCTAGAGATACTGACTTCTGTTAGAAACCAAACCAATGGTCCAGGTAATGAGTGATGGAATCTTAAACTTCATTCTGGCAATGGAAACAAAAGCAAGAAACAGATGAGACATGGCTTGAAAGTGGGATCCACAGATTATAGCGAGCACTGTAGTAAGACAGCAGGACAGACCACATTATAGAGATTACAGAGCTTCTGAGATAAGGGTTCAACCAGAAGGACCCATTGGTAAATGATGTGTCTTCTGTAGGCACTAAAGACCACTCCTGAACTATGCGAAATATAGACGAGATTGCTCTCTGTCCTGAAAACCTACAGGCAAATAAGGTAAATAAGGCTTCCAGCCATATGCTTTGTCCTCACGCCACTTTACCTCTCTCTATACTAGGCCTTGTTGATGGTCCACAGCCTTCTATCAGTCTTGCCATTTTCTGTTCCCTCCTCTTTTTCTTTTTCCTGTTCACTTGCCAAAATTTGATTCTGTGATTCATTCACTTAAAAGCCTCCCTAAAGTTACAATAATCTGTTAATTATTTCTACACACCTCAGAAACTTACATTAGGAAAACCCTGACACAAAGCACTAACAAATTTCAAGCAAGATAAGCCCAAGTACAGATATTGTCCTCAAAACTGAGTTGGACCAAATCTCAGATCTAGAAAAATAATGTCGTTGCCTTACCTCCCTTCGAAATCAGGGGAGAATCAAGTTCACTTTTTCTGTGTGTACAGAGCCATCGTTTAATCCAAAAGGGCTCTAAGAGAGAGAAATAAGAATTAGTTTATCTGTTTCATCCATATGCTGTGGTCACAGGCTGTGCCATCACCAGTGAACAAAAATCAGTGATAGCTCTTCAGTGCCCCTAAACAGTGGGCAATGTAGGGGCTAGTCATCTCAAATTTGCACTTTCTTTGAAATATATTAACGCCTTACGATTCACTTCCCTGAATTCAGACACTTTATTCTCTGAATGAAAAGTTTTCCAAGTGACTAAAAGCTATTTTCTGAGAAAAAAAGCAACATATTGATTCATAGATTTAAACAACAAGGCAAAGAACAGAAACATAAATATTATGAAAGGTGATTGAATATAAGATATGAAAGTTTACTTCCTACTAGAATCTTAATATACTATTCTTATAACTCTTGATGTAGCATTATATTATATATTGTTATATATAATATAGGTCTGTAAGAATCTTGACATAGCACTATAAAATTAAAGGCATTTTAACTGATCTTCTAAATCTCTTCAAATGAAAGATATATGAAAAGCAAAAACAAGAGACCAAAGAAAATAGTCTGATGAATGTGTGTAAAATTCAGCCCATTATATCCTATACATGTGCAAATTGTGTTTGGAGTGTCACATGCTTATGAAACTCAATTTTTATTGTAAGTTTAGCTTAAGAATGTGGACCATCTAGATTTAAAAGTGTTCTGTTTTGTTTTGTTTTGTTTTACAAGAGACATAGCAGGCCAAATTCATAGCACAAATACCTTACGCACATAGTGGAAACTGGTGGGCCCGTCCTTACTTCCCTTATGTATTTACACCACCATTCTTCCTTTCCCTTCACTGCTGAGTTTGGCTCCCCAACTATCTGTACCCAACCTCCCTAAGACATGCATCTTCTTTGCTTAAGCCATTATGTCAGTAACAAGTTTGTTCCCTCTGCATAGCCCAGTCCCCATAGTCACACCCTCCATTTTAATCTCATGCCTTTCACCAAGCTCTTTTTAAATAAAAATAAATGGAAAAGTAATCTGAATCCAATTGTTAAGAAATGTGTTGATTTTTTTTCCACCAAATACCATGAAGGTAGACAAGATCATAAATTTACTACTGGTATGCATGTCTCTATTTCAAGGATGAAACCAATTTCTCATGAATTAAAGCAAGACTATTTTTGATTTATAGGTCAGAGAATCAGGTGTACTAAATTGTGCAGTAGAAAGGAAACATGAAAGATTTTTTTCCTGATATATCCCAAAGTCCTTCAAAAATAATCCTGTTTAATTCAAAATATGTCCCTATTAAAGTAGCTTTTCCATAAATTTGTTTTTATCTCTTGCTAATTACCAATGTTATTATATTTAGACCCTTATATTGCCAGAAAATATTTCTGAAACCAAATTAAGATTTTTGCCATGAATAAATAACATTATTATGACTGTCCTTGGTCTTTTGAATTGGTATATTTTCTCCCATTATTTATATCTGAGAGAAATATCACCTAACATTATAATAATGTTTGACTATTGACATACTACATTTCCACACAAACCTAGTAGTGTTTGAAATCTATTAGAAAGGGCAGCACTTTTTAAAGTTTAGAATCTCTGATCAGGTTAGAAACCACAAAAATTCCAATTTAGGAATAAATGTCTGTTGTTATTTTTTCAACAGGAACAATAAATCATGTCCACATAGTTTTTCAATAAAGCTCATGCTTCATCATAGTTTGTTTTTGCTGTGGACAGTTTCCACTTCGGCAAGAGCACGGAAGTGATCTATCCTAGTTTGTTTCTTCATTGCTGTGACAAAATACTCTGACCAATACCAACTTGGGGAGGAAAGGATTTATTCAGCTTACACCTACCAGGTCACAGTTCATCAGGGAGCCCAAGGTACTTCTGGGCTCCATAGGGTTTTGGCAGCTCTACTGCTCTGACTCTGCTGTCCACAGCACACACAGATTGTCTCACAGACCCAGGCCAGCTCCATTCTACACCTGCCACTGACCTTGGTGGTTGTCCCAGGGTCCTGGCATTACCAAAAAGCTGGAGACTCCACTGAAGCTGAGGCTACACCTTCACCAATGGCCTCGTCTTGCCTCTTTGGGTGCAAAGCCTCAGATTCTCTCCATGACCCCTTCAGTCCCGGGGCCCTCACTGCAACTGAAGCTGCACTTTCACCTATGGCCTTTCCTGGCCTCTCACAGTGCCAAGCCTCAACTGCTTTCTGTGACCCTTTCACACTTTCAATACCAGAACCATGCAGGAGACTCTTACACATTACCAAGTCCTGCTTCCAGCTAGAGATGGAGGTTCAGGTCCCCTCTGTGTGCTGACCCTGAGGAAATACCTCCCAGAAGATTCCACCACAGTGATGCTGGTCTCTTGTTACTTACGGATGATTTTTCAGCCCCAACTAACCAGCATCAGTTGTCCCAGTAAAGCAAAGGTTTTACTTCAGGTTTTGGTCTCTTCTTAATCACAGCTGATTCTTCAGCACCAGCTGACCAGAACCCACAAATTCTCAACTCAAAATCTCACACAAAGAGCTCTGATAGTCTCTGCTTCCCTTTGAAGCTTCACAAGCCAGTCCTCCATTGTCCACAACTCTTTCAGCCTAACTGTTCCAAGCTCCACAGCAACAAACTCTGAGCATGCAATGGCTTTTCCAGCCCAAAGTTCCAAACACTTCCACAGTCCTCCCAAAAACACCAAGGTCGGGTCTGTCACAGTAATATCCCATTCT